AATCTCTACCCCGCCTTCTGCCTGACTTCAGACTAACATGGCTAACTACCTCTCTTGGAATAAGTTACACCTGTTGCACATCACCAATCTGTACACTCTCCAATCTCTAGCCTTGACATAACATTTGCAAGTTAGGAATAGGGGGATTTACTTATATGTTGAACAGGCCCATATTGTTCCACCTGTCTAGCCAGTACTATCATGTCCTTGTTTTCATATCCACTACATTCACCTTGAACTTCATCTTCATCGTTATAAAGGCAAGGCCAATCTCTGCTTTGTACATGTTCCAAAAGAACATTAAGCCAACAGAAACCCTTCATGCCTTGGATTTGTGCTTACAAGACAGAGCAGGAAGTGTACTGGCTGTTCAGTGGGATGCAAACATCACTCAACAGTATCCAAGAGCTTTTGTGCATTATAACCTTGGCACTGAACTGAGCTTGGAACAGCACCACATTTGCTGCATCTGCATCAGGGACAATACACAGGTGTGGAACTCCCTCAGTTTATTCAGGCTCAATTTATCATCTTAAATGATGATCCTCATTTAAAAAAAAAAAGAATAGGTAGCCAGTTGCACAATATTTCACTTGTGATCAAAGTAAAGTGGCTTTAAATTAAATGAAAAATGCATTTGGACTTGCCTCTTTTAATGCATCTTTAAGCCTGAGCTTGCTTTATGGATACTGACATTTACTCAATGGAGAACTTTTGAGACAGCAATTCAATTGACCTAGAACCCTTCAACATGTTTTCTGAGAACAGTAAGTGGCATCACCCACAAGGAGTAACCCACCAAAAAATCAGGCAGAAGCTAGGGTAGATTTGCACCTTAAGCTAAAAGCAAACAACGAGTTTACTGGGGAGCAGACAGGTGTAACTCAGAACTTTCTGATGTGTTCAGAGTTACCAAGTTACCTCAGACCAAACAGAAGTTCACTGTTGGTTCCAGGGAAGAGAGGAATGGAGGCTGGGCCAGAGCATGCAGTCAGGTTCCTGCAGTAAAGGCCAGGCTCTCTACCAGTGCCAGCAGTTTTCAGAATGGAGACTGGGGAAGGAGGCACAGGGAGCTTGTTCTTAGGGCTCCCCAGCTGGTGCGGAAGGGTGGTGTGGGTGATTTGGAGCCCTCCTACCCTCGGGAGGACACCAATATACCTGCCTCATCCTCTGGAGTGGGCTGAAAAGCCCCCAGACTGAACTCCCTTCACTCCCTTTCCCCCTCCCCTCCCATTCTGAAAACAGGGACAGACTTGGAAGCTCTGCAGACAAGTTACAAAAGACACATTTTGAAACCTCTTTATCCTGATACCATATGCAATGAGGGGTCAGATTTTCACGCAATCAGCCATTTGTGAAGCTGTCAGCTGTGCACTTGTGTTTGGTCACAGCTATATATAAACTGCTTTCTGTGGCCGGATTGGGCAAAAATTGTCATGTTTATCTGCACCCTTATTATTAGCTGGCATCAAAGCAGGAGGAGGGCAGTCCTTTACACTTTCTCCCTGCTCTTCACCACCCCCACCCCCAAATTATTTCCAAGTTCTCAATAGTTCATGAATAGGAGAATGTGGGATCCCAGAACAAAAAGTTTTGTCTGGGGAAATCTTGGCCTGTTTTTACCTTTGCTTGACTTCAGACTAACAGCGCTAACTACCTCCTTCCATCAAAATCCCCTAGGTTTTTGGAGAGACAATCTTAGAGATTGCATCATTCAAATCACATTTGATATGAAGCTTTCAGAATGTTTCAGGAACTATACCCTAATTTAACAAACAAGTTATGGCCCATTGTTGCCTTTCCAAAAAATAAAAACTGTCAGACAAAAGATTGCTGTGAATGGGATATAAACACAAGGCCCTCCAATTTGGATGCTATAGCCAAGGGAAGGGCCTTTAAAAAGTGTGAAGAAACACACTTCATAAAAGAGCAACTCTCTCCTCCTGCTGAGGAGACTCATGGTAGTTTTCCTCCTCCTCCAGCTTGTGGTCCATACTCTGGCCACAATCTAGATGAGCCCTACCAGGAAATGGAATAGGCAGAACAAAATCTAAACAATCACATTTTTAGTCCATATATCAAAAAATCTCTCACTTTTGCCCAATTCCCAACCCCAAAAATTATGTGGAGGGACACAGGAGAGGAGAAAGAAAGAATTCTCCCATGATAAGTCTTAAGAGTACCCTTAAAAGTCCATAGTTTAGCATTAAAAACACCTTCTACCCAACCACCTAGGGGAGGTAGAATAGGTCCAAAAGATTAGAAAACAAACCACATATCTCCCTTGCAGCAGGCTGGACAAGAATGTTTCTCCAAGTTCATCCCTAGCCCACAGCAGAAGCACTCATGACACAGCCCTATCAGATTCCAACAAATCTGTAAATTCTGCTATATGCTTTGTCAAAGACACAAAAAGGAAGGATCCTTTGCTTATCACAGAGCTGTAATTTGACTGATATTTTCAAGATACCATGGTAGGTAAGGTTTACTTGAATGAGAGCCCTGCAAGTTCAAAGCCCCCCCTTTCCACACTCTATAGCCTGCTTTGACTAAACAATTTATCACATTGGGATTTGGAGAAGTGCCCAAGACAAACAGCATATTCTGTATACATGGATTTAAGATTTTGTACATCTCCTATATCTTTTATATAACATTTTAAATCCTGTGTGAATATAATCCATTTAAAACCAAAGCAGGGACCAGACACTAGTTGACTGGAAATGAATCTCTCTCCTCTGCATACACCCACACAGCAGGAAGAACGCGTTCTTGTCTAGGCCTAGATTCTTAGCTACCAAGGACTAAAGCTTATAGAGTTTATAGACGATAAACAGGAAATGACCATGCTACTACGCAACTTATGATGGCCTATTATATAGGTGGCATGCATTGCTCTAGTAGCCACAGCCTCTGCCTTAGGTCTTTCTGTGTGGAGCACAGCCTGTCACATCTAGGTTTCTATCAATGCAAACAAAACTATTCATTTCACATTTGTGGCAATTACCAAGCATGTTATAGTTGCCCTAGCTTTCAAGGCAGTGTTATTACAGAGTGTCTTTATGAAGAAAGTGCTTGTATCTTAATACCCCTGGTCCCCAAGCTCCTTCCCCAAACATTAAACAAAGCAAACAAAATGAGGATGCTGAGGTGGGAGGAGGGGAGAGAGGACTACCATTTTTCCAAGCTAGTTGCCTGTATTCATTATTTATTTATCTGGATCTCAGCTCCTTGGCACACTTGCTCATTAGTGTTACCCATGGCTGATAGGCTGCTGCAGGTGCACCTCCTTGCTTATGCACCACAAAGCCTACCGTCTCCTCCTTTCCTTCTCAGCAATTCTCTTAATTCCTACACCAGGATCTCAACACACACACCCCTACCCATCCTACTGTATCTAACTACCTACTCCCCACAAAACATTTTTTTCTATAGGTTCCAATGCTGACCAAGGCTGTACTCTACGGGTGGGCAAGATGTGGCCCGGGGGCCAGATGTGGCCTGCCAGGCCATTCTATCCAGCCTGCAGGGCCCCTAAATATTAATTTTCTAAATTTATCTGCCCCGGCTGCCTATCACGTGGCCCTCAATGGCTTGCCAAAACTCAGTAAGCGCCCCTCCACCCAAAATAATTGCCCGCCCCTGCTCTACTCCTGTTCTCTCCCTCCTCCCTAGAAGGAAAACACCTTCATACCTGGGCAAAAATACTTCCAGCCTCATGATCATGTTAGATCAATAGGTCTACATCAGTGATGCCCAACTCATCCAGGCCCACAGACCTGATCCAGAAATCCAGGGATGGCCATGGGGCTCTCCACAAACCAGAAATCTGGTGGAAGGATGAGCAGTGGCAGTGTTAAGTGCTGCAACATCCAAACCAGATGATGCAGCCCCATGAGCCATTTACAGCTTGCAGGTCATATCCTGGTCTACAACAATTGGTTTCAAGTCTTACAGTAAAATATGCGAAGGAAAAGAAACAAATTCAGTGCAGCTCCAGCACTTTCTGCCGTGGCAGACTGAATGCTTAGTAGTGCTCCTTCCTATAACGTAACTGAATGTTGCTGAACAATAGAACTGAAAAAATGTAAACAGTGGCACAGATTACTACTATTCCTGTTTAATAGCTCTATGCAGGTCTGTTGCTTATTTGCAAACAAACTACTCTCTCAAATTAAGATTTTTCAATATCTAATTGCAGTTTTAGGGATGGTATCTTTCAGAACCAAATCACAGGGAACACTGGACAGCTTGAGGCTAAGGAGAGTGCGTTACATTTTTACTGGTGGTAGCAAGATGAGACAGATGAAGACAGACTGCAGCTGTCCAAAAACAAACAAAAAATAATATCCCTCTCCCTATAATAGATTTATATTATTATAAAATAATATATTATTTGTATACTAAATAAATAAATAAATAATATATAATATTTTGAACAACTGAAGTCTGTCTTCACATCTATCTATTTATCTCGTTGAATGTCCCTGTAGCCCAGCACCAGCTCTTTACTTGGTAGAGAAAAACAGGAGAGGTGACTGATTATATAAGGAGCTGGTGCTGGACTACAGGGACATTCAATGAGACCTGGGAGCAGGATATTGGACCCAATATCCACACAGGCTAAGTGCTGAGAATACATTAAACACTTCTACTACTACTTTTCTACACGAGCAATTGCTCTAACTGACACGATGAAGAGAAGTTCTACATAAGAATCTATCTACAAAGGTTGTACTTCACACTATTAAAATGCCTGACTGCCCTTGATATAAGTAAAAGGGAAAGAGGAAGGTTAAGAGAGACAGGGCAGAAATAGGAAGATATGTACTGTTGTAACCAAATACACACAAAAAAGGGCTGAGTTCATATAATGTGTTTCGCTTACCATTTGCCATTCTCATAGAGTATGTGTGTAAACACATGATTTCTCTCTCTGCCCCTTCCTGCACAGAGGAAAGTAGTGTAAAATAAAATGGCAGTGTAAACATTTTGCTTACCTGAGGCCTGGCCCTCCAAGATGAATGTACTGAAGATAACTAGTGGAAGAAATAATCCATGACTGGTCAAAGCAAGTGGCACTCCTGGGTTGCTCTTTGGTGCTATCATTCCATGGCACATCTTTTATCCTCCAAAGACTTAGAAAAATTCAGGAGTTCTGATTGGTTGGGAGTGATTCAGTCTACAAAACAAAAAAAATGGAACCATCACTTAGCTGTGGAAGACTTATGCACCTGAAGCAGGGGAGTGCAGGGAGGACACAAGAGGAATACAAAAAAAAAAAAAAAAAAGGTAATGCTTGTTCTCATGCAAGAATAAGGTAGGGTAGATTTGCACATTACACACTAACCAAAGCGTGCATGCACACACACACCTATATATACACACATGGCACAAGCTTTTGTGAGCTGAAGTTCATTTTATCAGATGCTGCGAAACAACACACAAAGTCTTGACTTGAATTCAGACTAATACACCTAACTGTATCTCATGTACAAGAGCTCAACTAAATAAATGGACCCATATTTTACAGAAGGGGAGTTTGCAAGAAGACCTGAATGGGAACTGGTATATTAAAGTCTAGATCTTTCCTCTGGTTCAAATCTACTACTATTTTTCAGCTACAAGTAACAGAGAAGTATGGCTTACATTTAATATTATATGCACCCTACTCCTTACCCCTGTTTTAAGGCAATCCCAAAGGCTCTATCTGGAGATCTTTCCCAAAATAGGATTTCAAATACTCAAGTTTTGCTAGACAGCCACTACTTTTAGAAGTCTCAGAAAAACAGCAGTGAAACCTGACTATATACCTACAATAAATACATTCAAACACTTTCACCTCTGGTAAGTAAAAACTTTAACCTCTGGAGGAGACTAGGCAAGCCCAACAAACATGAACGTACTCACATGCTCCTAAGGAGTGAATGTAAAGTAGATTGCAATACTTGGATGCAATGTTTTCATGTTACAGAGCACAGCCAATTAAAATTCAAGGATATGACATCACTTGTGCTTGTGAATTGGGAGATGCAGCCAATAGTCTGCTACCTGTTGCAACACTTAAACAAGATAGGCATGCAAAAGTCTGCTGTAATGGCAAAGAGCTGTTAGGAAACCAAGGAAAACACAAAGTTGAAGCCCCATTTTATGCAAAGGAAAAAGGCTACAGTATGACTCCACTCTATATGCAAGGGCTTCATATCACAAGACTTGTCATATTTTGTATAAATCCAAAAGATACTGCTACACTGCTCAAAGGGTCTCCAAAAACCCTTGAGAAATTCAGAACTGTAGTCCTCAGCACCCCTTGCTCGCTAAAATGCATCTTTTACAGTGTAATCAGTACAATAGGCAAGGTTATGCAGCCAATCATGACTTCCCTGCTTCCATGCCCTTTCCAACACATTCTCCCCCACATACTGAACATTTTCAGAGGATGATTCTCTTTAGGGAATAAGATCTTCCCCCATGCCCGTTTCTCAGTCCAGAGGATATAATATTTATTTGATCTATTATATTTTTTAGATTTATAAATATGTATATTGTTTAAATAAATAAGTTTAAGAAAAATGTTTTTAGCTAGGAGTTTTCACTTTAGTGAATGTGGTCACTGTACCAGAGTGGGTTTGCTTTCGCTTTGATTCTTTTCTGAGTTATTCATTTGGATTTTTCATGTTGATTAGTTGAGTAACAGTCCTTTCTATGCAACTGACAGTGAAGGAAACAGGAAGCAAATGAATAATAAGATTGTGAAACTTTGGTTTTAAGCACATTTGGTAACAGATATGAAAGACAGCAAACCTTATTAACTAGGGTGCCCTGTTAAAATTGAAGCAAATGAGTATCGCCAGAAACTGAACAGGCTGGTTTAATCTTGGAGACAGCTTAGTGACTGAAAATGAAATAAGGGGCTAAGAAAATTACAATGTTTGATAAATCTGTAAGAAAGTTGAGGTTTTAAGGCAGGCAAAGGTATCTCAAAGTACAGGTTTAAGACAAGACTTAAGCTGCCACGTTAAGAGCCCTGAATCTTCCCATGAGTGCAGGCTGCTAGCATGACACTTCTTTGTCAGCACCCCAGAACTCACGACAATAAGCCGGGGGAGGGAGGGTGTGAAGCCACCATGTCACAGTTGCAGCGTGAGAATGGATTTATGACATGTTTCAGGGATCAGAGCTTGATGTTTTTCACTCCGCTCTCTCCTTCCACAGTGCCAAAAGGATTAAGACGGCTGCTGCCAGTTACCTGTTAAAATTCTTTCAGGGAAGATTATACTGTATTTAGAATGAAAAAAAAATCCTTAACCTGGGGAGAAAGCCAAGATACTCAATAAGCAGAGAGCGCGAGATCCTGAACAGCCAGCAAATGCACTCATCCCCAGAACAGTCATATCTATTGCACAGGACTTTACTTTTGTTTTAAAATGCAGGGGCATAAATGCAAACTACTCTACTACATGGCCAAGTCAACCTCAGCCTTCCATGAGTCAGAACAATGACTAAACTTGTGGAACTCATGCCAGCACGCACTACTTTATTTTGGGTGTCCTTTCTGCTTATATCAATATCAGGCATTGCAAATTCCCCCCTCCCCCTCTACTTCAATGAAACCTTCTTGGCATAACAAGTTACACCTAAGTGTCACAAAAGTATAGACACTCCCCCATATGCCCTTCAGCGACCAGCCAGAAAACTATATTCTCTACAATACAGAGCACAGGAGAATCAAATCCTGGGCACTGACAACAACAGCCTGGTTTCTGATCTGATGAGCTGCTACATAGCACAAAATTGTCTCTCTTCTCCCAACATCAGGCAGTGTTTCCTCATTGCTTTTTGATAAAGAAGTCTCTAATCCCTGAAAATTCAAAGCTTCATCTGCAATGCTTGGTACTAGTTTTTGCATGCTGAATGCTGACCCCAACTCACAGTAAACATCCAAATTAGCCCCTTTAACTTGACAGAGGTCTAAAAGGCAAGACAAGCAGGAATCCCAGCAATGGCTCAGGATAGCATCCCCCTTACCCCCCTTCCACAAACATTTCAGGGTTGTGAAGAAACCGTGTCTGAATGACTATTATAAAGATTCAACGTCTGTATTCAATCAAGTTACAAGATGCGTTTCCAGCTTTGGTTCTTGGTGGCAAAGCTAGATGATCAAAGGATAAGAAAAGGGATACTCTCTTCCTAGGGGAAAGCCAGGGAGCTATTTAGATTGACATAGAAACCCACGGGGGTAACTGAAACTGTCAGGCCTACTCAGACTTAAAATACTATATGCCAAATGTTTTGTTCCTATTTTGGTTTTAAAAAGCCTCCCAATCACTGTATTTACCACCCATCAGACTATCAAATGGAGGAGATCATAGATGTTGAGCCTAGTCCAGGGGTGGGCAAAAAGAATGGCCTACTAGGCCATTCTATCTGGCCTGTGGGGCCCCTAAAAAATTAAGAAAATTAATATTTATCTGCCCCTGGCTGCTTGTCATGTGGCACTTGATGACTTGACAAAACTCAGTAAGTGGCCTTCCATCCAAAATAATTGCCAGCCCCTGGCCTAGTCAAGCCTGCTGGGTAAGCCTGGTTGATCAGAGAAGTACTGTAGCCCAGGGCTCAACCCGACAGTGAGAGAACTGCACCCACCCACACAAAGGAAATAGCACAAAGCCTGCTATATGTGAAGAGGTGCAGGCAGGAAAACCAGGGACAGTGTTATATCTGAGCTCTTTGCCCTTTAAAGGACCTCCTGTTCTTTGGACATTCTCAAAGTTAGTCCCTCAAATCTCTCTCATTACAGTAACTGCAAGCAAGCTCATCTCCGGATGTAGAGCACTTATTGTCCCCCCCTCTATTTGGCAAGAGCCTACCTTAGTTTTCTGCACAGTTCACTGGGGTAAGTCTTGTCATGACAGTTGCATGCAGAGATCTACAGCAGTTCAGCTCACAGGGTTCAGGACCTGTTGAGTCCACATAACGCGTCTCACACAGAGAAAAGGAAAGAAAAGGGCAAGTGCAAATTTGCTGGTCTTCTGCTATGGGGAACTTTGCAAACCACAGTCTAGAGCTAACTGAAGTCTAGGCACCCTCTGAGGTCAACAGGATTTTCCACACCCACCCAGAAAGCCACACCCTAGGAAGTCCTGATATTTACAGCCCATGATGTTGGAACATGTTAATCACACATCTTCTACTTTAAGAGGCTTTGGGAAACGTGCCTAATCAGAAAAGTGTTCCTAGTCTCTCAGCTCTTTGCCAGGATGCCATTTTAAAAAGGCATACAGCTAAAGAGATCACTGTATTTGCCAGATGTTAACTACTTCTCTGTCAACTCAGTATTTCTTCACCATTCAGCGTCCTGCCAAAAGTGCTACTGAAAGGATTTTAAGGACCAAACGCCGTATAATATATCGCATTGAGAAAGTAATGCAGTAGGCAGTCGTATTAGAGAGGCAGTTCTGCAGGACACATTTACAAGGTTTTTTCCTTTATGGGACTGGATGACTGTGAGCAAGTGTGAATACCTGCAAATGCTACTGTTAAGGTGAGGAAAATCCAATTTCACATGACAGGGCATTGAGAGAGCAAGAGCAATATTGCTTATCTCGCACTCAAAAGTCATGAGGCAGCAAAAACCTAGAAATCATGTGGCATGCTATTAGGTTACAATTCCATCAGATTTCAAGAAAACAAGTTAGACTGGTTCCTGTATTTTTTAAAAAGTTTAAGCTACTTGCTGCAGATTTGTGGGAGTTTAGGTTCAAGTTCAAATCTCAAATGGACAAACCAAAATGTACATTGCCTCATTTTCTGCTTTTGAGGCTACTGCATTTTCCCTTACCTTAATTTGTAGCGTGGTGCCCTCACCTCTCCCACCTCCATCTAATGTCTGAACACTCCTCACCATCTCTCTCCCTGCCCCATAAAAGTTCTGTCCTTAGCTCATACCTGCCTTAGCCACTACTACTCACCCCTTCACTCAGTCAATTTGCAGCGCACTTACAGCATTCAGACAGTCAACCATCTCCTGGCATTCCCCCACTACCTCATGCCACACTTTCTTCCCCGGAAACTGGATGACACTTTATAAAACTGTACTATCTGGAATGTAACCTCCCATTTTTCTTGCAGACCACTCCCAAGTATTACCCTCGGCCCTGTGCAGGCTCCAAGTTGCCAGTT